CATGTTTGCATGGCTGTTTTAAGATCCTTAAAATAAATATCCACAACTCTGAGAGAAAAAAGGTTAAAGAGATTTTTTTCTAAATGTTTGCCACTTTAACAAGTAATGAGCTTAAAGAATCTAAGAACCAACTTCATTAGACAAAAGTCAAGTTAAAAAATGGAAGACAAAGAAGGTAGGAAAGTTGTTGCAGATTTTTTCACAGATGATTAATGCAAAGTATACCATTTAATTGACTGGTATAGTATAACTCATCTTTTCATTTGTTGTGTACCTAGATCTCTGGTTCAAGCCAGGCAGTTATGCTACTTGCTAACCCAAGAATGACTCCATTTGCATGGGCAGGTTTGCCATAGGGCGGGCGCCACCACGCCCGGGCAGGTTTCAACCTATTGCCGTGAAATATTATGCAGACAAAAAATGTCTCAGTATATCAATGAGAGCTTCTGAATATGCTATAAACTATTTCTCCTTTCTTGTGCAAATTGTATCTCTCTAGAATTATCACAGTTTAAATATACCTAGATATTGCATACTTGATGCAAGTATGTGAGGACATAACTAATTTGTTTTAAGATTTTTTTTTTTTTTGCCATAGGGTTGTGCGCTTCCCAGAGAAAGAGAGAAAGGGAAAGTGAGAAATCATACCCCTGGGGGGATGGCCAAGCCACAATCCCTCTCCCATTGGGATTTTGGGCACACACCCAGTGTGTTTTTCAAGCTACCAGGTCTAGGACTTGAACCACAGTCAGCCATAGGGTAGTCCAGCACCTTATCCACCATGCCAAATTCTGGTCCCAGTACAGAACCAATTATCATCTTAGCTAACTGACTACTATAAAATCAAAATCAATAATTCAAATGTTTTTATTTTTATCCTATTTGAGATTACAGAAAATAAAATTTCCTCTGGAAGTATAATGCAGTTTTAAAAACAGAATCAAATTTTTTAAAATATATTTTATACAAAATTTCATGCTATCTTTTTCAATCAAGTATGTCCCTACTTAATATATACCAAATGTCTATACTCTGTGGCAGAAATGGAAAGGCTGGAAGACAAAAAAGCATGGAAAGCAACAATGGATACCAGAGACAGTATGGGAGGAGGGCTGGAAATGGAGGGTGTGGAGGGAGAGAATTAAGGGGGCAAAAAAGTAATTCAACAAACAAAAAAAAATGCAAAATTATCTGTTGATGACAATGTGTACAGCAATTTACTGAATTAACCCACAGAGCATTTATGCCAGGAAAATTCATTTTTAATGTTGTAAAGATATATAGTAATTGAATGTAAAAGAAAAAAAAAGAAAGAAAATGAAATAAAAAAAGAGTGTGTTTTAATAGAATACCTAAAATAAGTGTAATCCTATACCATTTGGTCATGCCTAGAAATCACTGAACTTATAGAAGTATTATGGTTCCTGGAACACATTGTAGTTTAAACACACATACACAAACTCTAGGCTGGCACACAAGAAGTTTAGATCTTAGGTAAAGCTCTGTCAAAAATTCATTACAAGACTTGGTCAAGCACAGCTTGGTGATTACATATCAAACAGACCTATGTTTGCATCTTGACTGTGACATTTAGTGGTGATATGGTCCTGGGCAAATCAACTGCTTTGAGCATATGTTTTCTCATTTGTAAAATGGTAACTAATATTAGAAAGTATCTCATAGGTATGGTTTAAACATGATAACATTTATTAATGCTGGTAAGCTATTTCCCTTTTCTGGGTTTCATATTTCTTATGTATAAAATGAGGGAATTGACTTATAATTAGAAAATCTTCCAGCTCAGATTCTACAACTTAAATGAGAAAATCCAATACCATCCTCTCATTCAGATAGGAATTGTAAAATTAATCTTAAAAACCCAATTACTGGGCCAGCTGGTAGCCTAATAGTTAAGACCGCTAGATCCCACATGGCTTATTACTGCATGGGTCAAGTTCTGGACCCAATGGCTTAAAAAACATGCTGGGCGCACAAGAATGCATGCCCAAAATCCTGAGAGGAGAATGGAGGAGAAGAAACTGTGACATGGCCATCCGTTTGGTGGGGGGTGATTTCTCTCTCTCTCTAGCATACACACCCTGTAGAAAATTTAAAAAGCCACATTCTCATTTTTAACCTTTTATTTTAAGCTCTTTAAAATAAATACCATAATTCTAAGCACCACATTCTACCCAGAGTTGCCTAACTTTTAACAGTTTTGCCTATGCCTAGAGAAGTCTTTTTAATTACTATGCAAGCTGACTATACTAAAACAGCTTTGAGGTGATTCACATAATGTAGGTAGTAAGAGAAAAGATCAAGAAGAAAGTATTCTGAACCCCTATAATAAATAACATCTTTTGTTCACTTACTCTAATCTACAACGATTTTCAAATTTACAAATTATAACACTCTTATGTACTGCTTTATATCCATGTTCTTAAACTGCAAACATCTATGTGATATTGGGATAGTGCCTCAAAGTGAAGCAGTAGCAAAATGAAATCTGTAAAAAGCCTCTATATTAAAGCACAATCACACTGTCATTCAAGTAAAAGCTCTGTAGAACAATAGAATTTGAAGCCTAAGGGTAAGAGAGTGACAACTTATATATTAGAGAACAACAATTATGGCAACCATCACAATGATCAGCTCTGATGGAAGAAACATACAAATGAAAACTTTCAGGATAGTTGATGTAAAAACAGCAACTGAAATATAATACAACAAAAAGTAATTAGATTTTTAAGAGACAATACATGATGCAATGTCATCAAAGAGAAGTATAGAACAATGGAATATATTTTCATTCAATATTTTTCAAACAGAAAATTACTTTCAGGATCACTTCCAGGATAATGTTCTCTTGGTTTTCTTTATGAGGACATATAAATGAAATATCCAGAGGTCACCCATTAAGATATGCATAATTCATTTACCCTGGCTTACATTTAAGCTTTCTTTTTTTTACTGAAAGTTCTGCCTAATGATGAATAAATGTCCACATTATTCAGTTCTCCCTATGAAAATAACTCTTTGTTTCTAGGGAAAAAAAAACATATAGTTACACCTATTTTGATTAGTCAGCCAGGTGCTTTGAGTAGATGATTAAAAAAAAAATAGATGGCATGATCCCTCTAATATACAGTTGAGGAGTCCAGGGAAACATACACACACACACACAATCAAATAAGAAGACAATACAAAGCAGGCTATAAAAATGTGACAAACACCAGAACTGATGTGGGAATTCTAGGAAAGGTGAACTCAATTATGGTTAGGTTAAATTTGGAATGCTATGAAGAGGTGAAATTTGAGTTCTAAAGGAGGTACAATTGAAATTATGTATGAGAGGGCATTTAGGTAAAGGGGATGGTGGTGTGAAGAGCCAAGTTATCAATATAGATTGTTCAGGGAACATTAAGAAAAAATGTGCACTAAGGAAGAAAACAAAGTAAGGTTCCTACAGTAAAATGAGGCCAGATTACAAAGTTTTTTGAAATCTAGGCAGAATTGGGCTGGGAACAATAGAAAACAGGGAGTCAGTATTTAGCTAAAAGGAAATGACTTGATGAAAAGTGTTCACAGATCATTACCCTGGTGGAATAAATTAAGGACTGGGGTATAGATGAACGCTGGTTAAGAAGATCCTATAATGACTGTACAAATGTTGGTGGAAGTTTACATTGCAGAGAAAAGGAAACATAGATCATGGTGTGAGAAGATTTTCAAAAGAAAAGTCATAAGAACTCAGTAATTCCTTAGCTATAAGAAATGAAAAATCCAGTTTCCTCTGTGAAATTGTCAGGAGTCCATGATAAAACCATGGAAGAGATCAATCGTACATCTGTACAATCTCCCCACCTAGGGCAGACAGGCAGGTTGTTTCTCATGATTTCTGAGTAAAATCCTCCTCCTAATGATAGGCTGTCTCTCAAAATAGGATTTGACTTCTGTGTTCTAACAGAGATACAAAGAAAACAGGAGTTAGCACCAAACCTGAAATTGGAAGTAAAGATTTATGAGATTGTTCCAGGAAGGAAAAATAGGCGAGAAAGGAAAATTTCTTACTGTGAGTCTTTACAAAAAAAATGTTTCAAAAATCACCGAGTGTCATGTCAGATCAGAGCTCCTTGAAGTTTATAAATTGGATTCATTTGAATTTTTTTCCTCCAGTCTCTCATCTCAGAAATTTCTATTCTTTAAAATTTCCTACTAGTTCTGTTATTCCAAATCTACTACCTGGAGATCAAGAATTTACTTTCTCAAATTTACCACGCCCACCTTGGATTTGTATATACTCAGTAAACCAGATTCAAAGTAACTGGCAGATCTTGCTTTATAAACTGGCATTAGAAACATCACAAGGCTAACTTCCCTACCTTCCCCATATTCAACCCAGACAGGACTCAGCCCCACCCACTCCAGCGACACAAAAACAGCGCCTGCGCAAACTCACGCCTATTCTTTTCGAAATGACGCGCCTCCCCGCCCCTCCCCCTTCCCCCCTACTAAGGTACGAATGCGCAGGCGCAGCGCCTTTAGTGCTTTTGAGTAGGGATGTGAGCAATCTACTGTCCAGTTAAAGTCAGAAGTGATAGAATTCAAAACCCTCTTTTTTTCAGAGACAGAGGCTCCACATTACTGTCCAGTTAAATTCAGGAGTGATAGAATTCAACACCCTCTTTTTTTCAGAGACAGAGGCTCCACTTCCTTCTACTATCAGGCCAGAAGCCCATCCCAAACGTCGTCCTTTCTCCGAGCAAAGTCCTTTGCTGTCTTGCAAAGCACACTGTATCCTTCTCCTCAGCTCCTTGCTAATCTAACGCTGCGGGCAGCTTTTCGCTCTGAGCGTAGAGACCGTTGACGCCTAAAGCCGCACCAATTTGTTTGCTGCTTCTTTAGGCCGCGGAACCTATCGGTTCCCGACTGGCAGAGCATTATCCCAGTGCCTTGCCCCCCTCCTTTGCCCGTCGCACCCACCCAGGTTGGGTGCTTACCTCGGGCGTGGTGCGGACACGGAAGGGATCGGGGTGCCCCAGATCAGGCCAGTGCTGGAGCCGGCGGATTCAGCGAGATTTTTCCTGGGTCTCCACAGCCGCCTCAGACAATGAAATCAGCGTGTCCGATCATCAATTCTCATCATGATCGTGACGTCACAAAAGACAGCGGCCAATGAGAGCCCGAGATCAGCTCCGGACAGTCTCTGGCCTCAGCCCAGAACCCAAGAGTAGGGAGGGGGGAGGAGAGATGGCTGCCTGCAGTGGGGCTGCCTCTTTCCTGCACATATGAGCTGCATCGAAGGCCAGTCCTCTCTACCTCTTCTTCCTTGAATAGCTATGAACATCCAGCATCCCTATGACTGCATTAGTTAACATGCCAGCCATTTGAACAGGTGCTGTGTGGTCTTCCAACTTGAGATTCACTGTCAGCAAAATTGTTGCATGCTGTCGAAACCAAGTGATAGCATAAAGAAATAGTCTTTTGTAGTCAGAGTTCAATTGACAGGTATGCATTCAGTTTTCCTAATATTCAACAAGGTGCCTATCAAGCCGTTGGAATTTTTCAGTAAGAGCAAATGTAAGGTAAAATGTGGTTGGTTGACTTGGGACAGAGACAAGAAATTATGGGTTTCTTTCATGTAACCCTAACCCCTGTTCTGCAGGAAGTTATTTGGATGATGACCATTACATCAGTACAGAAGAATGTAGATCCACAAAAAACTCTAAGGTAGAGGACCTGAATTATCTACAGTCAATGATCTATACAGCGATTTAGGTGATTTTAAAAAACAAAAATCAAATAATACAGTTACAGATTGTCCAATGGCTTCCCCTCATGTATATGCAATAAAATGCAAATTTCTTATTGTTTTCCCAAGGCCCTAATGATCAGGCTATTGCCATCTTTCTGACCTCTCTTGCCACTAACTTGCTTTTCTATCCCACTGCCCTTATCTCCATTTCTCAAACAAGTCAATCCCATGTCCACTTCAGGAATCTTTTGTTATGCCATCTGATCTTTGTATAACTTCCTCTCTTGCTTGAATACAATCTGTATTCAAATGTAACCTCTTAAAGAGGCATTACTTCTTCAAAATTGTGATCTTTGTGACACTCCCTATACTTCCTTTCCTAGTTTATTTTTCTTCATATTGTTATCTTTACTAAATATATGCTATGCTTTTAGTTACTGCTAGTATAAGTTCTATGAGGGCAGTATTATTTTTAGTCAGTTTTGCTTATTATTATATCCCTGATATATATGAGTCTTAGACACAAAGTAGACCAATCAATAAATACTTCTTGGATGAGTGATTAAAAACAGAATATTCATATCATTAGTTTCCATTTTCAATCAGATTAGGATAGCCTGTAATGAGAGAGACCAGCTAAATAATTATAGTTGAAATCCAGCTTCTACATTACTTGGGCTTAGATCAGGTTGTTAAGAACAGGAATTAATAAAAATTAAGGTTTATGAGAAATTTAAAGAAAGAATAATAAGGGTGAAAGTGGAATATTCTGAGATGACTTATTCATGATGGATTAACATGTTTACTAAGTTCCTACTGAGTACCTGGTACTGAGCTGTATGAGAGAAAAAGAGTAAGGTCCTTACCCTTGAGGAATTTATAATCCAATTGACAAGAGATGATATATATGAAATAAGAGTATAAGAAGAGGCAATTATACTCATCCAGTTTTAATTCTTTTTTCTTCATGACACTCTATATCTAAGCCATCAGATATCTGGAGGTTGTACCATCAAATGTAACCCAAGTCTGAGTATTCCTTACCTCCTACATCACTATTACACCAAAGTCACTATCATCTCTAGTTTAAACTAGTGAAAAAACATCTTATATGGATTTCGATCTTCCATTCTTTTCCACCTTTGATTCATTCTCTTAACAAGAGTCAAAATATTTTTTATGAAGTTTGAATAAGACCTTATCATTCACTGCCCTAAAGCCTTTCAAATGGTCCCCATTACTTTAACAATAATGATCCAAGTCCTTGCTATGTCTTTTTGCCCACCAATTGCTCTTGCCCTGGTTCAATAAGTTCTAGCTACATTGGTCTCTATCTCTCTCTCTCTCTCTCTCTCTCTCTCTCTCTCTCCCTCCCTCTCTCTCTCTCCCATTTTGGAAAGATTGGTCCTTCTTCAGAGATTTTATACTTGATATGCTTTTCTGGAAAACTCTATCCCCATATCTTCACATAATATAATTTTCTACATCAACCAAACTGTCTGCTAAATGTTACCTTCTCAAATGGGTTTTTATAAAACAATAAATTTAAAATAGCACCATTGAATCACTATCACTTCTATGTCCTTGCTGAACTTTATTTTTCTCAGATCACTAAGGGAAACTACATTACTTGCTTGATTATTTGTTTATTTTGCTTTTCCCCACCAGAATATAAAGTCCAATGAGGCAGGAACTTGCCTCTTGTGTTTACTGTTATATATCTAGTACACAAAACTACATCTGGCATTTGGCAGGCACCCAATGAACTTTTGTTGAATGAATGGATATAAGGAAACATAGATTGTGTGGGGTATGCTAGAGTAAAAGGTATTCAGAAATAAGACATTGTCTTTTTAAGTTTAATCATTTCTTCAATGGGTCAAAGAGTGAGAAAGCATCCCCAAACAGGGTCCTGACTCTATGAACCACCTCCAGCCTCAGATAGCCCCAAATTATGGATGTACTCAGGAAGGACTTGAGGCATAAATTCCAAATACTCCCATGTGGATCAGCATTGCAGAACTTTGTGTTTTACTGTTGTGATACTATCTGCCTCAAAAGATGTTTCCGATACCATGCCTTAGGTATCTGTACCTGTTCTCCTCACAATATCAAATAAAGCCATGTTTATTGAATTGGTAGGTAAAAAAAAATGGTTGGAATAATCAAAGCATGGCTATTAGCCAAGATTTCTAGGAACTAAAATGACACAGCCTACAAATGCAGCAAGATGGAGTTTTGCAGGGAAACTTTTTTGGACATTAAGATTGGAAGAAATTTTTTTAGCTAAATTCTCAAGAGCACAGGCAACAAAAGCAAAATAGACAAATGGGATTGCAGCTCACTAAAAAGCTTATGCACGACAAAGGAAAAAATAGACAAAGTGAAGAGAGACAACTTAAAGAATGGTGGAAAATATTTGCAAGTTACATGTCTGAAAAGTGATTAATAACCAAAACATACAAGAAACATAAACAACTCACCAGCAAGAAACAAATAATCCAATTAGACAATGAACAATTGATCTGAGCAGACAGTTCTCAAAAGAAGGCATATAAATTGTAAATAGGCATGTGAAAAAGTAATGCTCAACATCACTAATTATTAGGAAAAGCAAGTGAAAGCCACAATCAGGTAGCACCCCACCCCAGTTAAAATGGCTATTACCAAAAAGCAAAGAATGACAAGTCCTGGCAAGGTTACAAAGAACTCTCATACACTGTTTGTAGGAATGGAAATTAACACAGCCATTATGGAAAACACTATGCTGGTTTCTCAAAAAACTAAAAATAGAACTACTTTATGATTCAGTAATCCCGCTTTGGAGGCACATTTTGGGTATATATTTTCAAAAGAAAGGATATCAGTATGTCTAAAATATGTTTGTTCTCCCATATGCATTGCAGCATTATTCATGATAGCCAAGATATAGAATCAACCTAAGTGTCCACCAACAGATAAATGGATAAAGAAAACGTGGTATATGTACACCATGAAAACTCTATAGTCACCACCATGCCACATAACGAATATATTGAATTACATTGTAAATGCTGTGGAGACTATTTGGGTTACCACGAGAAAAAGAGAAAGAAGGAAAGTTGAGAGGCTCGTGAATGCTCAAAGAAGGCAAAAAAGTGGTCTGAAGACTAAGTTCTATCATAAACAGTGCCACACTGAGAAGATACAAATGAAAAGGACTATCACGATGCATGAAAAGAGGAACACCAAATAAAGGAATGATGTAAAGACTCCATAAGGAGCAATACCTGCCTATCTCTTGGATGGAGAATGACAGTCCAGAGCTAAAGTACTTTCTAATATAGTTAAATAAAATGGAGAGAGTTGGAAAATGGGAAGTCCCTCTATCCAAAGTTCAAGCCCAGGGAGAAACAGAAGTTTTACGTTATTCAAGTAGGAAAGAGAAAGAAGAAGGCATGGAAGAGGTTGGTTACAAAAAGTCTACTTTGTTGGAGATGCCTTTAGTAGAAAACTACCGAAATATAAAAGATTCATTAGGTCAATAGGCTTATATTTCAAGAAGGCCCATGTAACACAGCCTAAACTGAAAGCCACCTTTCGCTTGCTGATACTTAGTGTAAAGAAATATCCCTCAACCCCATTATATACAACTTTGGGTGTTATCACCAAAGGTACCGCCATTGAGGTGAACATGAGCTAATTGGGCTTTGTGACACAAGGAAATAAGGTTATTTTGGGGAAATATACCCAAGTTACCAACAATCCTGAAAACAATAGATGTGTAAATACTGTCTTACTGGTTTGATAGCCATTTCATACAAGTAACTCCTTGTAATTTTTGAAGATGATACACCAATTTGAAAAACCACCATGACTGTGATGTTTCTGAATGCAGCCAAATTTATATGTCTGCAATCATCAAAAGATTATTTACTAAACTGTACAAAAACTAAAAAAATACATAGAGAGTTTTTTTCTCTAGGGTACATGTTCTCACAGAGACCAAGAGAGAGAGAGAGAAAGACAGAATGCAATAAATCACCCCCAGGGCGATGGCCACACAGAAATCCATTCTCCTTCATTCTCCTCTTGGGATTTTGAGTATGTATGCACACACACTGGCATGAGTTTTAAGCCACTGAATTTGGGACAAGAACTGTGGTTGACTACATGGGAGATCAGCTACATAACAATTATGCCATCTGCTGGCCCCAGGATCATGAAATATTATTCAGCCATAAGAAAATGATTAAATCTTGCCATTTCAGGCAATATTGATGAGGCTGGAGAAAATTATGCTAAGTGAAATTAGCCAGGCATGGTGTGGTGGTGAAGGGTGCTGAACTCCCACATGGACAACTGCAACTCTAATCCAAGACCTGGCA